CAGCGTTGCTAATTAGCCATGTTGTTTTATACAACTGCACAGGCTGTATGAATTTGCTGTCTTGAAGTATAGTTGTTGTGATATTATTTAATTTGAATCAATCACCGACACATCTCCATCTTTGTAGCCAGACAATGATGTAATCTTCCTCTGCTAATGGCTAAATGCTCATAGGAGCTAATTATGGTTGGTTTTCTGAGAGGACTGAGAAGGACCTAGGGTTCAGCGGTGAAAAAAAATAAAAAATTCTACCCAGTCTGTTATCTGCTCATTTCCTCATCTCTCTCTATTTATATTTGTAGTGAGGAATGACTATTTTAAATTTTGTCTTATAGCTCTAGAGGCCTCTCATTATCCCAACAGAGTGGGAGTGTTTGAAACCTAAAATAGTTGGACTGATTACATGGTGTTAAGCAAGACTTTTCGCTGAAACTGTGATTGCGCTTAAGGGCGTGTTAAACTTGTGGCAATCTTGGTTCATTTGGTGGGTATGAATAAAGAAAGTGACACATTTGGTTCTGGATTACTTTCCATTCACACTGTCACAATTTAAAAACCTGAACCTAAAAACACAGAACAAAAGAAAAATGGCATTTACATCCAAATATGCAAATTAGATTAATGTGGAAAACTGAAATATTGCATAAAACATCTGTAAATTAAGCACTGTTTCCATTCAATGAGTCAAAAAGAACATGATCATCACTTCTTAAGAAAACAGCAACAAATAGAAATTTGCTGCGAACTAAAAGCAATGAACGCACACAGACTTTTGGAGGCGCGAGATGGGTAAAATTACTGAACCCGTGAAATTGCTCATTTTTAGCAGAAAATTTAAGATGGCATTTAGAGGTTTTTGCATCTGAATACTTTTTAGTTGAAGTCAGAATGATTATACCTGAATTATTAGTCCCTCTGTTTATTTTTTCCCTGTTTTCTGTTTAACGGAGAGCAGATTTCTTCAACACATTTCTAAACATAATCGTTTGAATAACTCATCCCTAATAACTGATTTATTTTATCTTTGTCATGATGACAGTAAATAATATTTGACTAAATATTTTTCAAGACACTTCTATACAGCTTAAAGTAATATTGAAAAGCTTAACTAGGGTAATTAAGTTTACTAGGCAGGTTAGGGGCAATTATTGTATAATGATGGTTTGTTCTGTAGACTTTTGGAAACAAATTATAGCTTAAAGGGGCTAATAATTTTGTCCTTAAAATGTTTTTTTTTATTCTAGCCAAAATAAAACAAATAAGACTTTCTCCAGAAGAAAAAAATATTATCAGACAAACTGTGAAAATTTCCTTGCTCTGTGGAAGTGCTCTGTCATTTGGAAAATATTTTTAAAAGAAAAGGAAAAAAATCAAAGAGGGTTTAATAGTTCTGACTTCAACTGTATATACTTTTTTGTGTAAGGAGTATAAGGAGACGGAAAACAATTGCATCAATATATTTTATTGCACCCTTCTCACTGGTCAGTTTTTAAGAAAGGCATCATGGGTAATGCCGTACTTCTGCACGAAACTAATAACCCCTTTTAAGAAATAACTGAATAACAAGCTCAGAGCTCACAAACCAAGTTTATCAATTGTTATTGCTATTTCTTTTATTTAATTCTGTGAAGCTGTTAAAATTATTATTTCAGCCATTTTCTTGAAAAAAACTAATTAATTGATTTTTTTTTTTAAGTAATAGTTTTAAAATACTTAACTTCTCAGAATTTTCTTGAGTAACTCCAGATCAGATAGAAGGTTTTGTTCATCCAATAGTTTCCCCCAAAATAAAAAATAGACTATTTACTCACCCTCGAATGGTTTTAAATCTAAACTTGAATCTAATTGATTTAGTTTTTTTTTCTGTTGAAAGCTGGTACTATGATATATGGAGGTCAATGGTTAAGCTATTGTTTTTCAGCTTTTTCCCAAAACATCTTCTTTTGTGTTCTACAGAAGAAAGAAACTCACATGGGTTTGGAACAAGTGAAGAATGAGTAAATGATGACAGGATGTATATTTCAGTGCAATGGTAGAAGTGCATGAAGAAGTCGCATTAAAGGAAAACACTGCCACTGTGTGGCTGAATATGTACCATGCCATGGTGTAGTTCTTTAAGAAGTTTAATATCGCAGTCTTCCCATTCGTCTTTATAGCTTTAATGAATTTAACACTGATTTTGCTTACTCTCTTTTAGAACATCTATCACACTTTATATTAAGGTTGCTTTAATTACTATGCACTTGTGTCAAAAATTAAATGCAATTAATATACTTAGTGTTTTTCATATTGCATTGCAAAACATTTTTAGTATATTTAACAGTAGGGAGCGGTTTGGTGGTTTTACATGTTATTACATGCAGGGCTTTTGCAAATGTAAGTACAGCATTAAAAAAATGTGTACACAATGACTGTGCACTGTATTAAATTAACTTTAATTACCAGATAATGTACCAGATTAACTTTAATGCAAATACATAATAATGGGAATATAAAAAAGTGAGTCTAGACCAGGGGTGTCCAAACTCTGTCCTGGAGGGCCGATGTCCTGCAGATTTTAGCTCCAACTTGCTTCAACACACCTGCAAGGATGTTTCTAGAATGCCTAGTAAGAGCTTGATAAGCCCAGGTTTGTCTGATTGGGATTGGAACTAAACTTTGCAGGACACCGGCCCTCCAGGACTGAGTCTGGACATCCCTTGTCTCAAATATGTGACCCAGGACCAAAAATAAAGTTACAATTGCAAGGTCTTTTTTTGAATGAGACATATACATCACTTAAAACTGAACACATAAGCTTTCCATTGAGGTATATTTAGTCATTTTTAATTATCCTTTATACCAGTGGTTCTCAATTGTGGTGCTCGTGCCCCCCCTGCCCTGCACATTTTGTATTTCTCTTAAAATTAACAGACAAGAATCAGTTCATGGATCTCTCAGTTAGCGAGCTAATGATCTGAATCCAGTGTGTTAGGTGAGGAAGACATACAAAATGTGCAAGGATCAGTGTTGTGCAGAGAAACACACCCCTGCCGTAAAATACACCCCCTCTGAAATGAGCATCTAATAACTTTAATTGATAATAATAATATTATTAATAATAATAATAATAATAGAATTATGACAACTGATGACAATAAATGGGTTGAGTTTCATGAATGAAACCCTTCCCTTACAGAAGATATTAAAATAAATAAATAGATTGACAGTGAGGTGAATTATTTAATGTGTGGTTTAATTGAAAACAACAACCTAATTTTTTTCGGTTTGTTTACACCCACCAAAAAGCCTCATTTTAGAAACAGGCTCATTACGTCAGTCTACTCTACAGCTAATATTTTTATTTTACATTTATTTGTAAACCTGGTGCATTTTAAAATGTGTTTCACTTCTTGTCTTTGTTTTATCCATCAAATTAATAATCATATTATGTTTTTATCAATTATGACCTTTGTTTTTTTTAATGTAGACTGAGAAAGCTCATGAAAGTCTATGAAAGGGGTACATTTTACACCAGGCATGTATTTCTCATCACAACACCTGCATTGAGAACCGCTCCTTTAAAGAAAATCTGGAATCTGAGGTTTAAAAAAAAAAAGAAAATAAAAACTACTGAGAAAAATCACCTTTGAATAGGTCTCCTCAACAAAGCATGAAAATGCGACTTTTGATATATTTACAGTGGGAAATTGTACGCAATGTTTTACGCACAAAAACATTGCGTACGCCAGGTTTTACGCTCACTCCCGATAATAGATATATGTGAGGATATAGTCTTCCACTGCACCTTGGTCCCTCATTCATTTCAAAGGAGCGCTGTACAAAAATGGCGGCTCTATTGACGCTTAACTTCTAATAGACAACAACTAATAATCATGTTTCCATCCAAGTAGTTCTCACATACTGTTTTCAAACTCTATGAATTCTAACATACTACTCGGCTCGTGTAAGAGGCTAAACTATCATATGCATTTGTTTATATGACAAAACATGTCTTTTTGACTCAAGAAGGTCCATACTGACTCCAAAGGCAGATACTGATAAGATCAGGGCCTGATATGTGGACTTTGGGGGTTTTATGATGTGGTCACATGTTGATTGGTCAGTTTGAATGTCTTCATTTGGGCTTTAGTCACATGGTCAAGAAAGAGACAAAATAGGTGTAAAACTCTGCTCTGGCTCTTTGCCTGCCCTGTCTTCTTGGTCTGTTTCTCTCCTGCTCTGCTCCTCTCCTCCTCTGGAGTATATCTTCTCTGCCTCTTTGAGGCCTACTTGCTCTCTTTGTCTCTCTCCCTCACACTTTGTCTCTCCTTCTTCCTCTGGTAACTTTAATTTTACATTTAAGCTGGGTACAATTTATATCATATGTTTTATCATTTCATATTTGATCATTTTATACAGTTATTTTGTAATTAATTCAGTTGTAACCATAGACAATTATTGTCATTAAATCATCTCATTTTCAAGTATTTGTGAATTACTTTTCATTTAACATCAACATTTAATTGTTCCATATTGCATTACAATACAATCACATAATATCAATGCCCTCCCACATTTATAGCTATTAATACTGCCCTTATTTCCGTTTTTTGGTATGAGATTGCAGAAGAATGGTTTGACTAGAAATGTACAGTTTTTTACCATCATGCTGATCACTTTTTAGTCGCTCAGCAGAACGACAGTTCGAACCGCTTTGGTTTAAAACCCATTCTTACACTCGCGTATTAAATGATATCGAAGTATGTGATTTTGGACGCAGCCCATGTCTCCTTAACCAAACACACCTGATTTAGATCTTCAGCTCATTAGCAGACAAAGAAGACATTAAAACATGCAGCAATTGGTCCTGCAGATCCAACCTGGTTGAGAAACACTGCTTTACATAATATTCTTATGATTTTTTGCTTGCATTTGATTGCATTTTCTTTAAAATAATTTGACCCATACAATGTATTGTTGGATATTCCTACAAATAAAGAGAAGAAGCTCACAAGAAGTCATTTTTCGTCATCAAATGTAGTAAATGTTTACTGTGATATCCTTATGATACAATATGACAGTACATATTGTCAACATGGTAGCAAAAATACAAAAATACTCATTCAACAACATCCGAAAATTTCTATTTGCACAATCCAAGATAATCTGCTACATGATTCGAAACAATTCAATCATAAGTGTGCTTGCATTTTATATCCACATTAGATCCTTACATTGCATTGCACAATATATATATCAAAGGCACTTTAAAAATCAATTAAAATTTATGTTTTGTAATTCATTTTCTCTGCAATAATAAAAATTTGAATAACAGATAAAAAGGAGTACAGAATAAAAGGTTTAAGAGAATTAAACCGCATAACGCTTCAATGCGCAATTTAGATGAATGCATCTTAACTAAAACTCCTTTAAAAACTTTTTTTTTTTTTACAAGAAACCAAATATTGTATCAAATAATATAAAATAGTAAAGTATTGCACTCATACTGTACATAACATGACGTTCATTGTATCTCCAAATAGACGTTTAAGGAATAGTGTGATGTAATCAATTCATTAACCCTTCAGTTTACTTCAAAGTTCTTCATCCTTCAGTGAGTGTTAATCCAGTATTAATGAAGGTGCTTTAACACGACCCTGCGGTAAACACCGGACCATTTAACTGGAGATGATTTCCATTAAAAATAAGCAGATCTACTGCTTTCACCTTCATAAATGTAATTTGAGATCATTTCCTGGCTGTCGAGTCCTGCACCTTCACACAGACTGATCTCAGGTCAGCAGCAGTTTCCCGTAGTGTCTATGGTGAGGATCTTCTTTTTCTGTAGGGACTGTTAATACTGCAGCTGCTCATTTCAGTGTACTGGGTCTGAATAATCAACACAAAACAAACAAGGAAATGTAGACAAAAGGAGCAAACTGAGAAAAGATGGAGCATTTAGTTATGTAATTTAACAATGGATGATCTAAATTATTAAAAGGGGACCTATTATGCTCATTTTTGCAAGGTATACACTACCTGACAAAAGTCTTGTCACCTATCTAAGTTTTAGGAATAACAAATAAAACTTGACTCCTAGTTGATCATTTGGTATCTAAAGTGGATTATATGAAAGGCAAAGGCCTCTAGATTATGCCAAAATAAAATATGATCATGCCTTGATTTTTAATTATTTGATTAGGACAGTAAGGTCTGACTTTGCTTAGACAGGTCTTGACATTTAACAGAAATAATGTACAGTATAGAATATAAAGTCATGGTGCAGTGGAAAAGGATTTAATTTTGTGTATGACTCCTATGAGCTTGGAGGACTGCATCCATACATCCCTGCAATGACTCAAATAACTTATCAATAAAGTCATCTGGAATGGCAAAGAAAGCGTTCTTGCACGACTCCCAGAGTTCTTCAAGATTCTTTAGATTCATTTTCAATGCCTCCTCCTAAATCTTTCCCCAGAAATGTTCAATAATGTTCATTTCTAGTGACTGGGCTGGCCAATCCTGGAGCACCTTGACCATCTTTGCTTTCAGGAACTTGTGCAGGCTGAAGTATAAGGGAGCAGCCCTATCCTGCTGAAGAATTTACCCCCTCTTGTAGTTTGTACTATAATGTGCAGCACAAATGTCTTGATACCCCAATGCTGTTGATGTTACCATCCACTCTGCAGATCTCTTGCACACCCTCAAACTGAATGTAACCCCAAACTATAATTTTTCCTTCACCAAACTTGACTGATTTCTATGAAAATCTTTAGTCCATGCAGGTTCCAGTAGGTCTTCTGCAGTATTTGTGCTGATTGGGATGCAGTTCAACAGATGAGTCATCTGAAAAATCGACCTTCTGCCTCTTTTCCAAATTAACAACTAGAAGTCAAGTTATTATGTGTTGCTCTTACAACTGGGGTTGATGACAAGACTTTTGTCATGCAGTATAAAATAAGGCTTTGGTGTCTTAAAGTGTGTATATGTGAAGTTTCAGCAAAAAATACCCCACAAATAATGTTTAACTGTTTGAAACTACCCGTTTTAGGCTTTGACCCTAATTCTGCCATTTTTGTGACTGTCGCTTTAAATGCAAATAAGATTGTGCTCTTTTTTAGAAGAGGACAAAGTTACAAATTCCCACATGTCAGCATGGTGGCAGATCCAAAACATATGTCCTATACTAATGAGTGAGAGATTGTCACTTATGGGTGGGGCTTTCCCTCTCTGATGACATGTACAAAAGGAGAATGTCAATCAAAGCGTTTCTGCTGACATCAAGTCCTTACGGACAGACAGACAGACAGACAGACAGACAGACAGCTAGATAGCTAGATAGATAGATAGATAGATAGATAGATAGATAGATAGATAGATAGATAGATAGATAGAATGACAGACAGAGAGACATATAGACAGACAGAGAGACATATAGACAGACAGAGAGACAGACAGACAGACAGACAGACAGACAGACAGACAGACAGACAGACAGACAGACAGACAGACAGACAGACAGACAGACAGACAGACAGACAGACAGATAGATAGATAGATAGATAGATAGATAGATAGATAGATAGGTATTATAGATTATTACCTGCCTATTATTAAGTTATGAACGGTTTATAAGTAAGCAGTTATATAAAGTATCTTATTCTGCATCAGTAATAACACCCAAAACCTAAACCCAACGACTACCTTATTAGCTATTAATAAATAGGTTAGTTAGTGGGTTGTTAATACTGTGAATTGTGACCTAAACTAAACTGTTACCAATAAAATCAATCAATCAACCAACTATATTGTTCAATCATGTAAATGATTTTAACCCTTTATATTGACACCACATTTTTTAAAAAGTATACCAACAAGCCTTAAAGTAAACCTATACACCATATATTATCGTAAATTGTGAGGTATTTACTGTACCATTTGGATATCTGAGGGCACTCTGGAGAGGAAATCCAACAGCTCATTGTTTTCGATGGCATAGGGATTGCGCAGTTTCTTCGTGAATTTATGTATGCCTAAAAACAACGAACACAATATTAGCAGATCTTTCATGATATTTAGAAATATATCGTTAGACAGTAATGCGCAGCTGTTTTCTTACCATATAATAAAACTATGTAGCGCACTGAAACAAAGTAAGTGATCACTGTGGCCATGATGAAAATCATTAAGGCCAGTTTAGACAAGAATGGCACTGACCAGTTGAATGTGCTGCAGAAAAAAATAAATAAATAGAGAGAGAGAGACATCAATATGTTTACTGGGAGTATAAAGAAATGACAGTTTGAGGGCATCAAGTACATTCCAGCAAATCAAAACACATCTTATGTTCCTATATATTATATTAAATTATTTATTTTAATGTAATCTTTTTTTGCCTAAATGTTTGTGACTAGTTCTAAATATAATTGATTTAAATTATTTTTATTGATCAGCAGTAATTTGTGATTTAACCAAAGACTGTTGAATACACAAGACATGTTACTAATGTAATACACAGACATGTACAAGCCCAAGCAAAGCTCACTGCCAGCTAGTGTTTAAGAAGGGTTCTTGCAGAACAACACAAACAGCACGCAGAAGTATAAATGAAAGCCCTCGTCAGAAAGCCCTCGTCAGTGAGTGAGGATAGCCTTTGGCTGTTTCTCAATTCCAAGAACGCAGAGAACGGACTTGTGTTCTTGTGGAGACCGGTCTTGCCAGGTGTCCTTGGAAGAACGAACTCAGGAGACCGCGAGGGCAGAGAACGCGTCCTTTGAGAATTGAGATGCTGCGTTCTTCCTGATGGTCACCTGACCTTCACGTGTTTTAAATGGTAAATTGTTTAAACATTACAGCCTTCATACAACGATTTATTGTTTTTCCCCTTTTCAAAATATATACTTTGCATAAAACATTATAAATATATGATGCACAATATAAATAAAACAGATTTTAATATGAATTTCAGCAAACAAACACCCTTAATGTGTTTATTCCTTTATTAAGATGTCCATGGTAATGTTTACTTTTACCGTTTCATTTAGGGAAACTCCTGAGGTAAATAGTTCATATCTATGAACTTTAATAATAAATCTAGATAAAATGCAGCGCTTCCCACCTCCAGTCGCAATGACTTCTGGGACTTCCAGAGCGAGTTCGGTGCTCAAGTCTGCATCAGTGCGTCCTTGATAGCAAGATCACATCCGGGAAGTTTCACGCGTCCTTCGTACTTGCGGTCTTGAGTATTGGAACTGAACTTAGGCAGCTGATGATGACGTTTCACGAGAACACCAGGACGCAAGACCGTAGAAGAACGCATATTGAGAAACAGCCAATGTCTCACTGTACGCACTCTCATTCATTATTCACTTGCATGAAGTTACTTTGCTTCTCGATTCTAAGATCACATTTGCATGCATATTAACAAACGGCCATACACAAACGTTCTAATCTTTAGTGATGAGCCAGCACTAGCAATTTAAAAAATATTTTCAACCATTCAAAGTGGCTAGCGAAAGCGGCTGTCTAGCCCGCCACAGCTACAATCTACCCGCATTGGGTGGGTGTTAATGTCAAGCCCTGGTCTGTTGGGAAAAAAAAACACTTCTGTTTAGGTTTTGAGTTAGAATGAAGGGGTAAAAACAAAACACACTTCTTTATTCTTTCACCGAGGGATGCAATCTCCTCCAGCAGGTTCTGCACTGTAACGACAATCTCTTGAACCATGTGGATTTTCTCCATCAGACCTTTTTTTTCAGAATCCTACAACAACAACACATTTCAAACCAATACATTAGAGCTTGTACACCAAACCTCACATTGATTTATGTTTATATTCTAGAATGAATGCATGCAAGGAAATCTGTGACCCGGGAAGAAGGATACCTTTTCATCATCATCGTCATCGTCACATATTTCCATATTTTCCTGAATAAAAAAGCCTTTATTAATTTCACAATAACTTTTGAGATGGCTTTAAAGAGATAGTTACCTTAAAATGAAAACTTAAGTTAAAAGTCAAGTTAACAGAACACAAACTGTGAGCATACAACTTTACAGCCATTTTCAAATCACTGAAACAGACGCTGAACTGAACTCTCAGCTGAAAGGTCAGTTAAGTCAGGTTATATGGATTGTGTATATTATCCAAGGCTCACGCACCGGGTCTCTGGTGACTCTCTCAGTGGCGATCTGGAGATAGTTCCACGAGATGAGAAGAACCAAGAACAGGGGCAGCATGTAGAACTCAAAGTACCACACTGCCAGAAGAAAAAACTGGAGGAAGACACATGAGAGATTTGAAATAGAGTCATATTTATAGAGGACAATACAATATTGACAGATATTAGGATGGATGGATGCATGGATGGATGCATGGATGGATGGATATACAGATCTATAAACCGATGGAGAGAACTATGGATGGATGGATACACAGAACTATAGGCAGATAGATAGAACTATTGACAGATAGACAGACAGACAGACAAAATGACAGATAGAACGATAGAGCAATGTATAGATAGATTGATATATAGAAAGAACAACAGTTAAAATGATGGAATGATAAAAGAATAAATAGATAGAATGATATAGAACAACAGACGGACAAACAGACAGTCAGACGGATAGATGGATAGATAGAACGAATAACAGCTAGAAGGATAAACATAGAACGATAGACAGATAGATGGATAGATAAATAGACAGACAGAATGATAGATAGACAGAAGGACAGATAGACAGGCTGCCAGACAGATAGACAAAACAATAGACATAATAATTTGGCAGTTCATTCCGCTGTGGCGACCCCAGATTAATAAAGGGACTAAGCCAAAAAGAAAATGAATGAATAAAATGATAGTAGGATAAATAGATAGCATGATAGATAAGTAGAACAATAGAACTTTAGAGAGATGGATGAATGGATGGATAGACGGATGAATAGAACCATAGATAGATAAAACAGTAGATAGAACGATAGATAGATAGACTATATATATATAGTAAGAACAAATTTAAAACGATAGAATGATAGAAGGATAAATAAAACAATAAATAGGTAAGAATGGTAGAACGAAAGATAGATAGATAGATAGATAACATTTGTCAGCCAGTACTAATAAGTATTAACATCTACATTTTTGGTCAGTATTAGGCCGCTCTGCTCACCAGAAATGCCGTAATGCTCCTCCTCACACTTTCCCACGTGAAGCAGCTTGTGATGAACTGGTGAGAGTAAGACACAGCACGAAAAAGGTTCCTCACACGACCAATATTCCTGGAAAGAATCTGTTGCAATCATACATTGTTAAAAATGTTTTCATTATTATTTCTTAAAGTATTTCTTTCAAATCATGATTGTATTCAAATCATGATTGTATCATCTATTGTATTGTCTCTGTATGTCATACTGTACCTTCTTTGAAAACTTGGGATTGTCCTCAAGAAATTTCTGTTCTCGAGGTGTAAAGGTTATGATGCTTGCTTTGATCTGGCAAATGCAGTGAACAAACAAACACTATCAAATATCCAGTATCGAAACATTAAATATATGATATAAGACACGCTAAACTGTTGTTATATTTTTAGTTACAGTTGAAGACAAATTTTTATAAATATATATATATATATATATATATATATATATACAGTTGAAGTCAGAATTATTAGCCCCCCTGACTTATTAACACCCCTGTTTATTTTTTTCCCCAATTTCTGTTTTATGAAGGGAAGATTGTTTCAGCATATTTCTAAGCATAATAGTTTTAGAAACCTATTTCTAATAACTGATTTGTTTGATCTTTGTCATGATGACAGTAAATAATATTTTACTTGATATTTTTCAAGACACTTCTGTACAGCTTAAAGTGACATTTAAAGGCTTAACTAGGTTAATAAGGTGAATTGGGCATGTTAGGGTATTTAGACAAGTTATTGTATAATGATGGTTTGTTCTGTAGACTATCGAAAAAAAATTAGCTTAAAGGGGCTAATAATTTTGTCCCAAAATTGTTTTTTAAAAAATTAAAAACTGCTATTATACTAGCTGAAATAAAACAAATAAGACTTTCTCCAGAAGTTAAAATATTATCAGACATACTGTAAAAATGTCCTTGCTCTGTTAAACATCATTTGGGAAATATTAAAAAAAGAAAAAAAAAATCAAAAGGGGGCTAATAATTCTGACTTCAACTGTATATATATTGTATACTGATGGCATTTCATGCCGTTCAGCCTTATGATCTTAAATTGTGAGCAAAATCAGCTGTTTTGTCATCACTTTAGACATTACGCTAGAGAATCAAACACTAGCTCTAAAGAGACTAGTTGGTAAATGAGCAATGATTTCTGCCGTTCTGACGTCAGCTGCAGATGTGAATGAGTGGCGGATGTAGTTCCTTTTACAAGAGATTTTTTGAGACTCTCTGTGTTTCGCTTTCTTTTTTTTTTATACACGATTACGCTGATAAGTTGGCGGTTCATTCCGCCATGGTAACCCCAGGTTAATAAAGAGACTAAGCCAAAAAGAAAATGAATGAATGATAATAATACGTTTAAAAATATTCTCTATGTTAAAACAGCAGTTAGGAAATATTTTTAAAATAATGAACATTTCATAGGAGGGCTAATAATTTTGTCTTCACCCGTATAATCATTACATTAACACTTACTACCCGTTTTTCTAATGTACCATAAAAAGTACTGTAGAAATAAATGATGTGTCTTTACTATTGTCATATTTTGCTTGGCTGAATACATTTTAAAGGCTCTGCTGAGCTGTAGATTAAAGGCATCAGTGGAGACTCACAGGATTGAAGAGGATTTCCAGCTCCAGTATTACAGCTCCCTTAGACATTGATGTCAAATTCTCTTTCCTCAGAGGACAAATGAACTGCTGACCTTGACAAGCCTGTTACAATAAAAGAAAACGCACATAAAACTTCAGATTAAAACCACCACACCACACAAAAACGGCATGCGATTCTGAGAGTGCCGCACACAGGTGAGTGGGCTTGATAAACCACTTGTAGAAAACACACTCTTTCATTTCTCTGACATTAACCAAGACTTTCACCAGATGTTTTTTTTAAATCACTTCTTATGTTTATGAAAACATTGAGCATTTCTGAAATGTGCTTCACACAGGTAAGTGGGTTTGACAAACCACCTGTAGAAAACGCATTCTTTCATCTCTCTAACACTTTAACTGACACTTGCACCAGTTTTGCAGCAGATGTTTTCATAAAATCACTTCATATCTTTATAAAAACATTTAGCATTTCTGAAGTGAGTGGGCTTGATAAACTCCCTTATGAAACACATGCACCAGAAACCTTACTTACACTACACCTTGCAATATTGAAAGCAATGTTTACTTGTGAACGTACCACAAATCATGTTGCTACTTGTTTTCTACCACCCTGAATACCTTTTTAGCACAATATCTTGCCCAGTATTGTTTTGTTTTATGTAAAAGCACATGAATAGTCTATCTTAGGTTATTTGTATAGTTTCGGTATGTATAGTAAATGCATAATTAGATTACCACTCCGATATGTTAGTTATGTACAGGTGTAAAATAGCTCTTTTGTCCAGTGTTGTGTTCATATTTATAGTTCTGTTTATTTATGTAGGACCATGGTCCTGTGAGACGTTACTGTACCTTTCATTCCACTGTAAGTCCACACGTGTAGCAGAATGACAATAAAACTCAACTTGACTTAATATTTCAATTCTAATCAAAGATCTTTCACATATTATTGCTCTTTATTTTAGAAATGATAATTCACCCTAAAATTAAAACACACTCGCCTTCAGTAAGTGTTGAGTTTCATTCTACTGTTAAAGGCAAGATATTTTAAGAATGTCGGCAAACTTGTTTTTTAACATTCTTCAAACTATCTTTTCTTTCTGTTCAAGAGCATAACGAAACTGAAAAATGAACAAGAGAAGTGCAGGTAAACGATTATTTTTAATACCAATATGTATAGTTCAGGTGGCTCAGTGGTTAGCACAGTCACCTCACTGCAAGGAGGTCACATTTTACATTTACAATTACATTTAGTCATTTAGCAGACGCTTTTATCCAAAGTCACTAATTCAAGTCCCGACAATTCTGTGTGGAGTTTGCATGTTCTCCCCGTGTTCATGTGGGTTTCCTCTGGATGCTCTGGTTCCCCCCACAGTCCAAAGACATGCGCTATAGGTGAATTGAATAAAACTAAATTGGTCGTAGTGTATGAGTGTGAACGAGTGTGTATGGATGTTTCCCAGTACTGGATTGCAGCTGGAAGGGCATCTGTTGTCAATTCTTGAGTCAATTCAAGTAAAAGTCAGCTTTATTGTCAATTCAGCAACATGTACAAGACATAGAGAATTGAAATTACATTACTCTCAGACCCTGAGTGCATACACATAATAATGTTTGTTGATGAACTTTGATGTTGGCTTAAGAAAGCCAACTTCACTGTGCTCGGACTCAGAACGGCAGTTGGCAGGAAGCACAGCGGTTGCTAAGTGGTTGCTAGGCAGTTGCTAAAATGTTTATGGCATTGGTGGTTTTTAAACAGTTGCGAAATGGCAACGCTCATGTACATGTTTGATCAAATGCTAATACTTAGTAAGCATTTCTTATTAGTAAGCATTTGTTATTGCACTTAGATAATCATTAATGGGATGTAGCTAATCGTTATTAGCTCTTGGCTTATCATTGTTACCATGCATGGTGCACACAGGAAGTCCCATTTGCTAGCATGAATCAGACGAGCCAATACTCAGGTAGGTCCCTATGATGTTCTGATGTAGAGGTATTGCTGTTTTAAATGGTTGCAAGTAGGGCTGCGGGATTAATCTAAAAAAATGAATGAAGCTTAAAGGCGGCCACACAGGTCCTCACAGGAACATGAACACCTTCAAATGGCATTAAAAGTGTCACATACTGTATTTATAAGGTATAATTCCCCCAGAAATGTCATTTCTGTCTCATGTAATGATTTATTTGCGGCCGCAAAATGAATATAATGTTTTATAGTGTCAGTATAACTACTCTAGCTTATATAACGTTGAATATAATACAAAAATGTCTGATTACAGTGAAAACAAATGGTCTAATAATGCTGACAATAACAAATGACAAGCACACATCTCAAACATAATAATTCAACTTTATAATTATGAATAGTTGTATTCTGATGTCATCATTTTACTGTGAATTAACAAACAAGTCATATTAAAAGTCTGTTCAACACATAGGCCTAATATTATTAGTGTTGTTTTACCACATCATCACTTTAGAGTTATAAGGTTCTATCTGACATTTTTGTCAAAATTGAGTTAATAGCCCCTTTCACACATACTCACCTTTCCGGAACATTACCGGCAATTTTCCGGAAAGGTTGTATGTGTGAACAGGCTCTTTTTGAAAATGCCGGTAAATTCATTCTGGCTTTTGTTCGGAAAGAGAAGTTGTAACATTACAGGTAATTTGCCGGAATGCTGCGCTGTGTGAATGCAGAAGGAAGATTGCCGGAAAGAGCGCGTGCACGTCTAGAACGTGCTGACGTGAAATGTCTGCTTTAGCCAATCAGAACAGCCAGATGCATTAACGTCCGCACGGTTTATGAGAATTAAAGCCTTTGAATATTTTTCCAGACACATTTAGCTGCTAGAAATTAGTCAGATAACGTTTTTATGTTCATCTTAATGGCAACTGTGTAATGAATTATCGATAAGATGCTTATGATAAGCCGTTGTTTGTTTACCTTAAAGCTTTGCGTGTGCACATAAACGGTCTATAAGCGCCAGCACACACACATATCATGTAAATCTCGACATGCGAAAAGGTTTCTCTATATTTTTCATCGAAGTTGTTCACAATACTGATCATCCACAGAGTCTGTGATGAAGTCAAATGTTTACGAATACAAGCGCAGCCGTTTAGAGTTCATTTCTGGTTAATGATGTCAGAATTACCGGTATTTTGGAATGGATGTGTGAATGCTCTTTTCCGAAAAAATTCCGTATTGTCCTCGCCTGTGTGAACATCGCTTTTTTGAATTTACCGGTAAAGTCATTCCGGAAATTTTCCATATATTTACCGTTATCACTGTGTGAAAGGGGCTATTGACATATTCTTATGAAATGACAACATTGTTTACATTTTAAGACTTTAAAAAAAAAATGTTACACACATACTGTTTGCTATATGGATGGCAAAAACTTTGAAGCTTAATATCTCAAAACCATTCAGAACGAAGAACCTTATAATTCCAAGGTGATGATATGTTTGAGAATTAACAATAATAATAGCAGACTCATATTAACCTTTATTTTACATCTAAAGAATTGTGAGAAAGAATCATGATCTCAATTTTAAGCAAAATAAATCGTGATTCACATTTTAGCCAGAATCGAGCAGTCCTAGTTGCTAGGTTAGCCTGTTTTATTGCAATGGGGACAATTGACAGATTAGTGAGGATACATCAAAACTTATTGCCAATATGAGTGATATAAATCAACCCAGATGTCTCCATGACAGTCAAAAACTGGAATATATTGCCATATTTTATTGAAAATATAATGCTTAAGTGTGAAAGTGATGCATGCAAACGAGGCTTGCCATGTCAGTAAAAGCATTGAGTTTTTGTAAAAATGGTTTGCCATATAAGTAAAAAATATGGAATTTGTCAAATTGGCTTGCCATATTTTGAGAAAAATAATGCTTAAAATTATTTATTGGAAAACTATACGTCTGATAAACCTGAAAAGAATCTAATGCAGAACACAGCTTTTAGCCAAATTTGGGGCTTATATAATTTTTTTATATGCCCAGATTATTAAAATGTAATATTTTAAAAAATATTCATAAAAGATAAGTCTGATTGGCATGAGGAGATATAGCAACAATCTTAAATGCAGAAGGCACATTTTGACCAAATTTGGGCCTTGTAGCATGAACGGCCTAGGAGGAGATATGTTTGTTTTCGAGGACATAGTATAACAGTATGTTGGCTCTCTCAAGCCAACATAATAATAACACCACAACAAAAATGTAAATATACAATAAATACAGATCATTGAAATAAAAATGAAAAGAGAATAAACACATCTAACTTACTGAGACTAAAGGAATCGCCACCTTCCCCAAGAAATCTGGGGCTTTGTCTCCATCCTCATCAAACACAGTCACTTCCAGAACCTCATGAATGTCTTTAACAGGGCTGGTCAAGAAGACAAATCAAATAAACGTCAGTGATATATTTATTTTCATGTAAATATAGAATTCATATTGAATACAGTACTGTAAAAAAAAAGTTTGAAATATTTAAAAGATATAATAAATCTAGTTTGCTCATGTTTTAGAAATACAAAAACAGCAATGTTGTGAAATGTTTTTACTTGAAATGTTTTCAACTTGTTTTTTTATATTAATATATTGGGGTGTTTTTTTTATATTTTTTATTTTTGGCAAGGCTGAATTTTTAGTTTTTTGTTTCACTTGATACTTCAAAAAGCTAATGTAATTTTTTTATTTTTTATTTTTTTTATTTAATGCCATGTCAGCAACCGTGGCTATTTTAATGGCAAGAACATTTCAAATGAATACATAAATTAAATAAGATTTTTAGCGTTATAATACTATGCTAAACTATATATAACATTATAATATTATTATATTACGCTGCATGTGCCAGTATTTGAGCAAAAGAAAAAAAAAGCTGTTTTGTGTCTCTTTAAATGCTAATGAGCTGCAGAACTCCACCCCCTTTTCAAAGAGGGCAGAGCCTTCTCTCTTGCCTCAGATACTCTGACAAAAACATTGAAATCATCAGAATATATTTTAAAGCCTTGTTGTGTACAAGCTCTTCTTATACACGTTTCTGAGGACACAGATACAAAGGCATCAGACTAAACATCATGCGAGAATTAAAGGTAACACTTTAGAATAATGGTTCATTAGTTCATGTATTACTTACTAACATTAACTATGAATACTCTTACAAAGCATTTATTTATCATAGTTCAACATTAACTAATGCATTTTTAAAATCCAAAGTTGAGCTTGTTAACATTAGTTAATGCACCATGAGTCAACATGAACTAACATTATTTAACTTAAATAACGTTACCTAAGGTTAACAAAGATATGATAAATGAACTGTATTACTAATGGTTTGTTCATGTTCTTAAATTTATTAACTAACATAAACTAATGGACCATTAAATTAAAATGTGACCATATTAAATTAAGATTATTAAATCTTTCTTCCAACTGTCAAACACAGACGTTTAAGTCAAAAGCATAAACTTAGAAAGTTAAAATACACAAGTTTACATGTTGTTAGTTGCATCCATGAATGTAAACAGTTGGGTAAAAAACTGCATGTGCATAAGTGTATTAGATCTGTGACCTTTTTCATTTTAAAACATCCTCAATTAACAGAAGTATTAGTTCCTTTATAAACAAAATCTTACTCGTGACCCCAAATCAAAAAACTATTTTTTTAAGAAGAAATAATAATAATAATAATAATAATAAATAAATAAATAAATAAATAAATAAGCTGATTAAATGCTTTCTATTGATGTATACTTTAATGAACAACCATTTTAATATAACAACATTTGGTCAAAATAAGCCATTTTGAAAATCTTGAATCTGAAGGTTAAATATAATCTAAATACTGAGAAAATTGCCTTTAAACTTGTCCAAATTAAGTGCTAATAGATTTACAGTAGGATCCTTACAAAATACTTAATATGTTATGGATTTCTGGCATAAAAGAAAAACATATATATAATTTTTACCCATACAAAATATTATTGTATTGTATTATTGTATTATTGAGCAACATCATTTTGTGGTCCAGTGTCACATTATCAATTTAATGTGTCCTCGCTGAACACTTTTGTGAGAAATCAAACAGATAAAAAAGAAAAATGTCAGCCAGACAAAACATCATGCGAGTATTAAATTAGGATTATTAAATCTTTCCGCCAACTGTCAAACACAGACATTTCAGTCAAAAGCATAAACTTATAATCTTTAAATACACAAGTTTACATGTTGTTGGTTGTAGCCATGAATGTAAACAGTTGGGTAAGAAATTGCATGTGTATCATTATATTAGATCTGTGACCTTTTTCAATTAAAAACATCAATAAATAGAAGTATTAATCAATAATAGAAGTAAAAAAGAAATCTTATTTGTGACCCTGAATCACAAAACTATTGAAAAAATATATATATATATGATAATAATAATAATATAAAATATTATATAAAAATATATAATCTAATATAATCTAATATAATATAATATTGCTATAATTAAGTAAATAAGTTAATTAAATGCTTTCCATTGGTGCATACTTTGTTAAATAACTTTTTTAATATGACAACATTTGGTCAAAATAAGCTGCTTTGCAAGAGCTGCTCTGAGAGTTAAATAATCTAAATACTGGAAAAATTGCCTTGTAAACTTGTCCAAATTAAGTGCTTAGCCATGCATGTTACTAATAAAAACTGATTCCAGATGAATACTTACAAAATACTCAATATCTTATTGATTTTTGGCATAAAAGAAAAAAAATGTTATCATGTATGCCCATACATTGTATTATTGTATTGTATTGTATTAATGTATTATTGAGCAACATCATTTTGTGGTCCAGTGTCACATTTGACCAACTGAATGCATCCTCACTGAACACTTTTAAAAGAAATCAAACAGACCCTAAAGTTCAGAACAGTAGTGTACATTAATAATACTGACAAAGTGAAGACTTTATTCCACTCAGGGTTGAGGGTTTTGTATATGGTGTGGGTCTGTAGCCGGCTGTTTCCCAATTCCAGGACACAAAACGGGTCGCTCTTTCCTAGAAAATACACAGAAGATCCAGCCAGAGGAGTTGTAGATGATCACAAACTAAAATGGCTCTCAACAAATGAATCAACAAATGATAAATAATACCATTTAGATCAGCAGAGATGAGGTCAGTGGCCTTGATCACTTTAACCTGGAGAAAACCAACATCTCTCAGGTCCCTCACGGTGTTCTTCAAACTCTTAAAAAAAAAGAGAGACAATTGTAAAAAGAAATTTAAATGAGATCATGCACGGTGTTATTATACAATACTGTTTTAAAAGTATCAAATATGAGACATCACATGATTGTGTTCGTTTTAAACTAATTTATGTCACATATAAGACATCCTAAATACAAGCGTCTACATTCAGTGTTTCATATAACATGTTAAATTTGCAAAACTTTAAATATCAGTGAAATTATTTCCATCAAATATCTTTATGCATTAATAAAACAACATTTAATCTGATCTGATCTTATTAAAATATGTAAAATGACAATCTTTTACAAAACGTTCTGGGTTTATTTGTTTTTCCAAAACTTTTACAGACCTAGAAAATGCCATGTCAAAATCCCATGATACTTCCAGGACCGTACGAAGCCCATTACAGATTACTAAAAGTGTCAATCCCTCATCTTACAATATTATGGTCTTTGAGTTGTAATGTTTTAAAGGTGCTGTGTGTAACTCTTAATTCTTTTGAAGCATAAAAATAACCATGTTTACAGATATTTAAGCAACATGCTAAGTGAACATTCTTGTTTATCTGAAAAGCAATGATTATTCTGCTTTGAAAATGTGTGTTATGTGCTGGAACGACTGTTTTTGTTTTGTCCCTTTAACCCACCCAATGCCAGTTTAGCCAATTATATTTCAGCACCCTGGGCTGCCTTGGTGGAAAACCATGCATTTCTTTCATTCAGTCATGAAGGCTCTCAAAGTATCAGTCTGTGACCGAAACGCGACCTCTGTTGGACAATAGGAGAATCCGAAATAAGAAGCAGATTCAGAGTTTCACATGAGGTGTTTATAAATTAGCAAATAATATAAATATTACCAACTTAAACATTAGTTGAGCAGGTTATATTGGAACCTCTGTGTCCTTACACGCTACGTGACAAAGCAATTTGACTGTTTGCACCAGATGAAACACGACAGAAATTTAAATGCAACCATTCAGAAGCACAGAATAGTGCACTTACTGCACTCAAACTAAATAGTAAGGTTTTTAATTGAAAAAATACTTATTAAACCTCTTTAACATTAATAAATGTAGATGCTGAATCACTGATATATGTTTGTTTACACTGAGTCACAGTTCTGAAGCTTAATTTTTAAATGGTTTATTTTATTTTCACGATCTGAGGTGAACTACCTGCTGCTGCTTTTAGTAGTATGACAGTAAATGTCATGTAAAATGGCATTCAAACTCACATTATTAGCATTTAACACTGAATAAAGCACATGAGGTGTACCTGAGGTGATCATTGTCAGTGTTTTATGCTGTTCAGCTGCAAGAAATAGAAGCCGTTTGTAATCAATTTGAGGTGTTGGTTAGAAAAAAAATCTTCCTTTAATATGGCAATCTTCCTTTTATCGCATGCTGTTGCTTTTATTTAGAACACAATTTAAATAAGCCTTAAGGCTCGATAGTCAGTCACTCGCTGTTGCTTTTGTGTGCGTTTTGATCCAGGAATGCAATACCTAGTTCATATTTACATACTGCACCTTTAAATTACTCTTGTACTACTGTATAAATGTCTTGGCCTAAAAAAATATTTGTTTTAAAAAACCTTTGAAACCCAACACACATCTTCACTTATTTTGTATTATGTACAAGGACAGATTTAGTTACTTGGCGGCCCTAAGTTTTTCCAACTTTTGTATTTTTTTATTTTATTTGTATTATTTCTGTTTATTTATTATATCAGTTAATTTCTTATATCAGTCTTTTCTAAATGTTTTTCTTAACACTTGCACTCTGCTGCACTCTAGATTTTTTACAGAAATGTGTCTGTAATCTTCTCTAAATGTAAAACTAAATACATTGATATGCATTGAAGTACATGATGAATATTCCTGACACAAGAAAGTGTAAAGCCTGCAGCTTACAATAAATGTGTTAAGTTATAGTGTATCATATCTAACAAACCGTTTACTGCTCATTTGATGTAATTTTGCTCACATGCATTTTTGAATATCATTCAGATGATGTCATTACGCTGCTGTTCCATCAGCCAATCGTTGCATTGCTAATCATGATTTCGAGGATCTATGAATCTGTCCTTCACAACACACGCAGCGATCTCAGATCAGTTCATCCAGACATTTTAATCTGATTCGCGAACTTGTTTGAAGAACCAAAATAGCCAGAGATCAGTTATCAAGATTAAAAGATCCCGGATCTGCCAAAGCATCTTAGATCATTTAAGCGAGGTACGAAGAACAGACCCCAGGTTACATACTTTGGAGCAGACGAATAAACATGGTCTTATTTTAAAGAATGCCCTCTAAAAGATCCATATTAAACATTGTATATTTATTATTGTGTTATTTCATAATTATATAATAGTCACACAAAAAAGTTGGATTTTAAAGTTTGTATTGCTATTTTTTTAGGTCATACTTTGTTTTGATGGTCTGTTTATTGAATTTAGGCTACATTACATCTACATGGCAACTAATTCTCATTAGATTATAAGTAGACTGTTAGGTTGGGGTTAGTGTAAGTTGACATGCATTTGCAAAATTTTTTATAGTCAGTTAAATGTCTGTTTAGCAGCAGTATCGACAGATATTAAGCAGACAGTCTACTAACACTCAGATAGATCATCAAAATAAAGTGTTATCTTTTTTTGTGTATAAACTGCTCAGGCATCCATTTACGTACTTTTGTTTGAGGAAATAGGGAAAAATCTTTATTTTGCTATCTTATATGGAATAAAAATTATAAAGATTTAACCGATGTTAGTAAGGGTGCACTTTAATGTCCATATTTAGATTTTTTGCACAAATGACTTACCCAAATGTTAAAGCTACATACAAGGGCTATCATTGGAATAAATGTATGAAAACTATTTCATTTTACAGAAAACACAGAATTATATTAATATACGTTTCTTAATTTTATAATGCATTCAAATAAAAAAAATTAATTAGCTTTTTTTAGCGAGAGACTTATGTATAGATCTTTGTCTAGAATCATCCAAGGGACTTCAAACTGGTTTTAAAAATGATAAAAAATACCTAAACATAATAAAGAAAAATTTTATTATGAGGGACAATTTTGCACGAATGTAATTACATTAAATTTAGAAAAATGTTGAATTTTGTTGAACCCTATACATTTTTAACACAAAAAATGCAAGGTTCCACACAAGTCCTTCATGTTGTTTTAGCACAAAGCAAATACAAATAAACATAAAACAATTAAGTTGTCCCAAAAACAATCTCAAGAATTGTGTTTCAGCTCAGTTTCAATTAGTTTGAACCAAAAAAAAATTATTATTTTTTTTTTGTATAAAAGAAATAATTGATACTTCTAAATATTTATTGGAGGTCCCCAAATTTCTTGGGCCCTAAACAGCTGCTTACTTTGTTTATTGGTTAAATTCACCCCTGATTAGGTGATATGGGGAAAATATCTAATCGCAATTTCTTTGACAGATATTGTGATTGTGACTTGATTTACGATTTAATTTAAGCTGATTATTATTTACTTGAAGCTTCAGCTCAATAATCTGTAAGCATTGTCAACAATTCGGCAACAGTTCTTAAAAATGACCTGTTTTTGTTCGGTCTGTGAATAAATATGCTAAAATATTCCCATAAAAAACTAAAATATTCCCATATTACAAATGCTGTTTTTCTTTAATATTAATTTGTCTATTAATGCTTCTAAAGCAGCAGACACCATGATCCTACTTGTCAGCGCTTTTATTGTGGGCGTAGTTCTGTTGTGCAATTCTGATTGGGCAGAACGAAAGTGTGCTCACTCAATTGGCTAGCTATAAAGCCTCGGCCAGATCACACGATTTTGGCATGATTTCCTTGACATAGGGTTTCGTGGAAAGCTATAAATAACAAATGTACATCGTGACACAATATTCAATCGTTTCTTCTGGTGTAATGCGGCATAGTTCACGACAACCGATACTATGTCTGCGATGCCTGACGACACCATTGCAGAAGCATGTTTAATTTCCTGAAGCATAGCGGACTCGTTTTGAAGATGTTATTCATTGTTTTTGTTTACATATATATTTTATATTGCAGCCTCTTGCACTTAACTTATTGCAACATTCGCGATTCGATTTTGAATAATCGCACAGCCCTACGCCTGGTTATAGATATTAAAAGCAGCACTGTGGTTTAACATACATATTTAGCCAGTATGTTTTCTTTCTCCTCAGGGTCCTCCAGAGGCGGGGTGATGAGATCTGAAATGGAGGCTCCGGTGCAGGCTTTGGGAGTGATGAGAAACACCACCTTGCCCCGGCCCGGCTCCAGGTCACAGGAAAACAATGTGGATTCATTCAGCGGCAACTCAGACAAGTTGATTTCAGACCTGCAACGTGTACAAACACACAAAGACTAAACCACAAAAACACTTTACAAACAGGAAGTTAGTTATGCGAGAAATGCTTTTGTGTTGCGAGATCGGCTGGATGCCAGTGAAGCTCTTTTATCTGCAGTTGTGACTGACATGTTGACTTCTGCTGAATTTTTTTTCTTTATATAAAAATTTCCGGCCCACTTTATTTTCAGCAGCCTTAACTAATATGCACTTAGACTGCAATTAATAATTCGTTACAATGTACTTAATGTGTAAATACATGCTTTTACATTGAATTTGTGCTTTATTAAATACCTGCATGTAATTAAATCTGTAAAATCTGTAATTACATTTACAATAACACTTCTAATGATCCTGAACTCTTTAACCCACCCTTAAACTTACCCATACCATCAAAGCTTTCTCTAACTTTACCTCTATCCAACTTTAATATCACCAGAGGTCTTCTGCAATACATTATCAACACATTAAGCACATTGTATTTATATATTGAAGTAAATAGTAGTTAAGCAGAGTGCTTTCACACCTGTAGATCCATTGCTCCAAAACAGGGATTAAAATTGTTGCAATATTAATTTTAGCTCTTGGTTTGCTTTCACACGGTAAAGTTTCTAAACAGACCAAATTTACCATTCACATGGGGCTTCAGCGCCAACACTTGACAGAGGGCGTGTTTGAAGTTGGGGCTGACGCGATCATCATAGCAGCGTTAGCCAATAAAATTAGTCAGCAATAGGCCACTGTTTGAGCTGGTGTATTTGCATACAGTGATCTGATTGGCTGATGCTTCCGTCGCCACTTGAAAAGTTGAGAAAATCCCAACTTCTGCAGTGAGCAACGCCACTGATTCACAATGCAGTTCAGCAACGCCTGACTTCACCTATTCAAAGTGAATGGGAAGCGTTGAAGCTGACGCCTCGTGTGAATGGGGCGTCAATCTTTCACATTGGTCAGAGTTTCAGGGATTATTAACGGATTCAGCTAAGCTGTCATAGCTTACAGGTAGGTCATTATTTTAAAGGGCCATGAAACTCCCTCGTTTCAGCAGGGTGTTTTCACACCTCTACTTTGGAAAAAGTCAGAAAAGTGGGCGTGTCCAGCTCTGTTTAGGGGGGAGTGTCGGAGGAAGAAAAGAGGCATGGTGTGGGAGTGTCTATTTGGGCGCGCTGAGTTTCAGAGTCAAAATATACACACACGGGACAAAGTGACTGTTTACATGGACATCTGTAGTCGAATTATTTGCCAAATTATTAAATGGTGGACTTTAACTACAGTTTGGCTCTTTCATTCAGGGAATTCATTCATGTCCCTCGCGACAAACGAGATTTCTGATTCAAGGAACTGCTCTAAGCGTGTATTTTTCATGCAATGTTTGATACCGCACGGCGAATGAGAGAAAAAAAAAACTCAGCATTTTCCGGAAACTTGGATGCACACGGCAGGTAGCGTCAGAAAGCCGCGTGTGTTATTCCGGTCACTAAATGCAGTGAAAACCCTACAAGAGGTTAAGGTTTGGTTGTAGTGCTAACATGTTTACACTCGGTGCAATAGTTTGTTCGATACAAACAAACTGAATAAACAAAGAGCATTGGTTGCTCACTTTCCAAATCTGTAGAGACAGGACAATCACTAGAAACTAGAGCCGCGTCTTTATTAAGAGGAGACTACAAGCGAATCCGGATCTCAGCATTTGCAGATGAGAACAGCTCTCAGGTAAACAATGTTCCTCCTAAGACACGCAAGTTATTGTTGTCGAGCGTCGCGTACACTGTTAATCCACACGTGATCCAGCTGCGCTTTCACAGAGAGAAAATGAAAACAAAACTTAACGGCAAGAAACTATAAAAGCAACACTTCACGCTTGTTTTGCCAACACAACGTGACGTCTCTGTCGTCTAAACACTATGACAGTAATGAATATTAATGAAGTTGCACAATAGAGCGCGCTGATTGGTTTGAACCAAGCTTTACTCATGCATTAATGCATCACACTGTAAGACGTAATAAGACTCACTCTGGCACAGACGTCCAGTCTGCACGCTGGAATACATGCTATTATGTCATGGCCGTGAGGCAGCTTCAAAAATTCGTTTCAAACCGGAAGTACGAATTTGCTTGAAATAACGCAAAAACAACCAATTTACACTTTTTAGTGAAATATAGGTGTCCTAATAGTGTTTTTAGCAGCGTGGGACACATATACGACTGTCAACAGCTCAAAAAATGTGTTTTGGTTTTTCGTGACCCTTTAATGACGATGAGCAATAAGACATAAGCGTAAAGGTGTGCTTTAATTTTGAATGGTGACACCCACAGACATCGTCACTAATTTTACATTGGAGGTAAGACTTTGTCATACACAGTCTCATTTCAGTTGTCGAGGGTTTCTCATCACAGCCATATCACCCTGCAGCCCAAGAGCGGTTACTCACTGAAGCTAAGCAGGGTTGAGCCTGGTCAGAGACCACATGGGAAAACTAGGTTGCTGTCGGAAATGGTGTTAGAGAGGCCAGCTCAACCTGTGGTCTGTTTGAGCCCTTAATGCCCCAGTAAAAAGTGAAGGGGACACTATACTGTCAGTGGGCACCATCTTTCGGATGAGATGTTAAACCGAGGTCCCGACTCTCTGTGGTCATTAAAAATCCCATGGCACTTCTCATAAAGAGTAGGGGTGTAACCCTGGCGTCATGGCCAAAGTCCCTCTATCACCGATCATGGCCTCCCAATCATCCCCATCCACCAAATTGGCTCTATCACTGTCTCTCCACTCCACCAATAGCTGGTGTGTGGTGAGCGCACTGGCGCTGTTGTCCCGAGGCAGCCGTCGCATCATCCAAATGGTGTGAAGAGTGTGAAGAGACCCCCTCTCATGATTGTGAAGCGATTTGGGTGTATGGCCATGCACAACATATGCGCTATATAAATACACATTACATTACATTGCAAATCTATATTGTACGTTTTTTGTAACATTTAATTAGTTATTTTATAATAAGAATAATACATTTAATAACTTTATCATTATTAATTATGAGCTTAAATAAATGTTGGCTAGAATTAAGCATTATAGGCTCACATTATAGAGAGAAATAACAGATGAAGCGAGACTGCAGTCTGGACGACGGGGTTTGAGTTTGGCAAAGAGCAGTTCCAGAAAACAGGGGACACTATACTGTCAGTGAACGGTGCCTTTCAGATCAGACCTTAAACCGAAGTCCTGACTCTTTGTGGTAATTAAAAATCCCATGGCACACCTTGGCCAAGGTTGTGTCACTGGTGTCCTGGCCAAATTCCCTCCATCAGCCTTTACCCACCATGGCCTCCCAATCAGCCACATACACAGAATTGCACTGTGTCACTGTCTCTTCTCTTTTGATCTCAACGACCCTCACTGGCACATCTGTGATAAAAACTAAACACTATTGGCTGTTTTTATCAATGGGAGAAGCTACTACATGTCCTTCTCTGTTTTTGTTTCAGATATAGATACAAATTACATTACAAACAAGTGTATAAACTCACAATCCGTAACTTTCTTCACTCTTCCGTCCATCTTTTAAGACAACTTCAATCTCCAGAAGGCTAGATGCATCGGGGAACTGGTAAAAGTCAAATCTTTCTCTCCACTCTGTGATGACTTTCTTCGAGCGAGACTGTCAACATGAAAGCATTTAAAGTCACCATAATATAAAATATATATATATATATATACACATATATATATATATATATATATATATATATATATATATATATATATATCAGACATACTGTGAAAAAATTCCTTGCTCTGTTAAACATCAATTAGGAAATATTTTAAAAAGAAAAAAAATAATTCACAAGAGGGCTAATCATTTTGACTTCAACTGTATATCACTTGCAGCCCTAGTATGTTACTACATCATACATGTCACAGTTCCTCCATCAGTACCTTGCTTTTGAATTTCTGATCACCCAGTTTGAAGCGCACAAACAAGTCCCCCTGTCCGTCCTTCGGTAAATCCCGTCCATCCACGAGAGTGATGGTGTAGAGGCCGATCCACAGCTGACTCTTATTTACAGACTCGCTCATACGTTTATACTCGTTTGAATTTCCCTGAAGATTAATACAAATACTGGCATGTGACAATTGAGAAATGTCAACAGTTATGTTAGGATTTCTGGATTTGATTTGGCAGTGGTTCTCAAGTTTGTTCTGACATGTAAATGCTAATGAAAATTATAAAGCTGTGCTGCCCTTAAAAAAAAACGGTAAAAGAGGAAAAGGCAGCTTCAGAAATGCAGCAAACACTTGAATTACAATCAAATTTCATGCATCCAATTAAACTCTTTAGTATTTTTTAAACTTAAAAGACACTGAAATTAGGCTGCTGCCAAGATGGACTGGATATTTGACACAACCTCATTCTCCAAAAACCATGACTATAATAATTACAAGTTATTTGCAATGAGAATAAACATGGTTTGTGTTGACCACAGTGTGTTTTGTGTAGTAATTTGCACAGGAAACCATCTAAAAACAAAATAAAATACAATAATATAAAATAAATTAAAATAGAAGATTTATCAAAACATTTAATTAAAATAACATATATCAATAAATATATAATTTAAATTGAATTAAAATAATGAATTAAAATGATTATAAATACATAAATTAAAATACATTAAATTTAAACAATATAAAAATATAAATACATCAATTAAATTAAACTAAAATAATTATAAAATAGTTATAAATAAATACATACATGAAATAATACATAAATAAATTTAATTAATATAAATTAAATTGAAATAAAATACAACACAATAAAATATAATATAATATATACATATATATATATATATATATA